CCCATCTGTGCTGTCCCAGTCCCGTTCTCTAACAGGCTTGGATGGGGACATCTCAGCGTCCTCCTTGGGATGCACAGTGACAGTTCGTCCCCCACTCCCCTCAAAACGTCTACGTGCTGAAGACACTAACTGAGGGGACCCAGAAACAGGTGTACTGCTCCCTGAGTCACAAGGAGAGGCGAAATGATTGATTACGGGAGACTGTGCGTTTTGGAAGTCTTTGCTGTGTGGAGTGCCAACTTGCGGAGACACTATACATTTTGGCACCACATCTGGCTTGGGTCTGGAGCTTGGCCTGACAGGAGTATGGTCCAAGTCGAGGAGGTTTTCTGTGCTGCGCGACTTGGGATGCAACCTGCCATAATTCCTGTCAAATTTCTGTAGCATGCGACTCACCCTCCCTTGGCCCTCCAGCGGAGAGGAAGCGGGTCGTCCCAGCGTGCTGAGGTTTTCCTCGCTTTTACTAAGCGCAGTATCGTAAATGACCACTTCCTTCGCGCGTATCTCCGTAACAGGACTATCTCTTTGATCTAAAAGGTCATTAAGAGAGCTATATCCGCTCACCGTGCCATTCTGTTGCAGTTTCGACGCGTGCTTCAAACTACATCCTTCTGGAAAGTACTCAGGGTCGGATTCAATGATGATGATATTCTCAGCGCGTATAGTCCGTATCCCGGGAACGCTGCCATATAACTCGAGGATGTGCTGAACGGGACGCGCGGCGTTCTCTTGGGTCTGACGCTTCTTGCGTTCTTTCTCCAGTTTAATGAATGGATTTTCCTGCAGCGGACCCAAGCTCTCTTGCAGCACCAGGCTCTCTTGCGCTCCGTTGTCTCTTTCTGTTCTCTCCTCCGAGTCGTAAGTGTCTGCTGATGGCCAGTGCTCTTTTGTTTTCACCGGTGACAGATCCGGGCTTTTAGTCGCGCGCTTGGCTGCAGTAATGGTATAGTTCCTGCTAGAATGTGCGCTGGTAATATCATCATTGTTGTTGCTGGCCGTTCCCTCGCCGTTAAGTCGAGATGCGACGGACTCGGCACCTGCTCCGGACCCGCCGCCCTTCGCCTTCCTCCGCTCAAGGATCTCGCGTTTCCAGGCCGGCATCCTCGGGCTCTCCTGCCCTGGCTCTTGGCGAAGAACGCGAAGATCTCCGCCTGACATTATGGGAGAAACGGGGTATATGGGGAAACGTGTGAAACAGAATAATCTCTCGCTGTACCTGCAGCTCTTCTTCTTATTCGTCCTCGTACATCATTGCAGCCGCAACAAAGTATCCTGCATGATGATGATGATGTGCCAGTCTACCGACTCGACCCCGCCCTCAGAGAGTGACGTCACCCGTTCGTCTCAGGGTGGACACCTCATTTGGTCATTTTGACTTGAAACACACCTTTTGTTTTAACATATGCCCCGCCCACTTGCCCACTACTATTGTGAGTATTAAAGCGAGCCCCGTCAGTCAAACATCGCGAGACCCACCCATTTCATAGCTTTAACCCTTTCAGTATTTCGGAATCTATCTATAATTACAGGAACGTCTGTGTGTGTGTGTGTGTGTGTGTGTGTGTGTGTGTGTGTGTGTGTGTGTGTGTGTGTGTGTGTGTGTGTGTGTGTGTGTGTGTGTGTGTGTGTGTGTGTGTGTGTGTGTGTGTGTGTGTGTGTTAGTCTGATGGATTTCAGACGGGTGTCTACGGGTGCAGTGCCGAGTTTGACGTTGTTTGCAATACGCACAAATACAAATGTCACTTTGCTGTGTAATTCTAACAATGAGCACTCAAACACACCAAACCAACAATTACTGAAAACACGCAAAAACCGATTTTGCACGGGCACTTTACACTAGTATGAATTAACAATAAGAAAGATAACTTAAGTAAGTGAACAATAAAACATTCATTCCTTGTGTGTTTGTGCACACTTGGTGAATACAACTCATTTTGATCTTAATAAATTAAATATCTATTATAAATAATATCTAAACTGCAAAGAATTATAGGCCTATATGCGAAATAAATGTAATAAGCTATTACATTTTTAAATATTGATAAAAATGTACTTATTGAAAAATAAATTAACAAAAACATTAAAACTCTTTATTAATAGTTAATACTATTTTTGGATCAAAAACGGTTTTTGGTCAAATAAATCTAATAAAGTACAACAATTTCCTGTGATGACGTGGTACAACTGGTGTTCTCGTCATAATCCAGTTTTAATATTAATTAAATTGAACATAAATAAAGATTAGCAAGACATCAAGTACAGCGCGTCAAGTTAGGCTATTTATAGACAACTTCATCCAATACCCTATGCACCTACGGTGTGAAGATGACCTCAAAATTTATTTCGAAGACAGGAAAACATGTTCGTTTAAGATATGGGTGAGCGACCTTTAAAATAATTGTTGCCATTTACAGCCACAATGGCTTGCAATAAGCATGTCCAGTGTGGCAATTCATTGTTTAAAAACGCCTAAACTATGTTCAAGGTACAAAGTCCAACAATAACATTACTTGTCATTAAAATATACCTGCTGACAGCAAATTAATAGAAATGCGTTTTGTTTCTCTATTATATATAACTCAAATGGAAAATTACATCTAATGCAAACAACACTACTGTTATTTCTAGTTTAATTAGACACATGAGAAATTGTGAAGTGTTAAAGCTACAGTGCCATCTAGCGATTATTATACGACTTACATTTTAATGCAAGATAACCAATATCAAACAAAATGGGTACATTTTATGTCACTTCAAGGCATGGTCACAAAGGAAGAAGATCAAGAGAACAGAGTGTTTGAATGTTGATGGTTTATTTACAATTGTACAAAAAACAATAAAATATAATAACACAGATAAAGCAAAATTGACAGTATTCAGAGAAAATCCAGACCAAATCTCTCATAGCACTTAAGGACAATAATAATAATCAAAAAATTGCACATTACTTTAAGCATCGTTTGAAATGCCATGTTTACATGCTTGAGACAAAAATTCAGTTGAATACATTTTTAAAAAAGGTTACGATGATTTTGCAACAATTTATTCCTCATGGTTTAAATGACAACAGCAGGAGTCCATTTCATTCCCATAAGTCCCTTGGCATGTGGGCAGACTGTAGTCTTTTAATTGACACGACAAGCGCGAATCATGAGCAGTTGCAGAAGGATGAAAAGCGGGGAAACAATGAGCCCGAACCACAAATCTTGCGTCTGGTCCTTTTCAGCCAGTTTCTGGCACAGCAACACCTCGCACACCAGCTTGAGGCTGAGCACGGTCAGCACCCACAGCAAGCGCAGCACTGCCAGACGCTTCTCTCCTTCTTGATAGAGGCGGATGGATACAATGGCTGTGAAGTAAGTGCTGAGGCCATCAGCAGCAAACAAGGGTGAGAAGACAAGCCACCAGCTCATCTCAAGAGTTTGCTTGTCCAAATCCATGTGCAGGGCCACCAGTACGCTGAAGACCAGCAGCGCGCCCAAGTGGAGAAACAGCTCGAATGTGGCAAAGCCCAGCCATTGCACCAGCTCTCGCAAAGAGAACAGCATTATTAATGGGGCACCACTGAGCGTTGTTTACTCGGGGGACTAAGGTCAAACACTAGCCTAGGAAACTGGAAGTGAAGAGGCACATTCAAATAAGTTAATGGATATTCAAGTCTATGAAAAATCCTCCAATGAAGACTGTTTCACTATTTTGGCAGCATCATGCTCTTCTGAGATGGATCAGGTCCACCTTCTGATGCATTTGACAGCTCTATCAAAACCTGAAAAAAATGGGGGTAAAGACTTCATTATCAAAATAATACTATTAAAAGAAATGAAAGTCAATCCTACTTTCTAATTGTATGGAAAACACTGATACCATGAAACACAGATGGAGTCAAAAAGCTATTCTACTGTATAAAATTATAGTGAATTATTATTATATTAGCCAACAATGATATTTGCATGATATGCAACCATGCCCAAAAACATGGTTGACAAACTTACTGACTAAATGATAAACATTTAAAGCAATCCAGGCTTGAAAAGGGATTAACTATCCTTAACATCAAAGCTTCTATATTGCAAATATACACTATAATGTAAGTTAATACTGCAGATAAACATGTTAGCTGCTATTAGTAAATTAACGTCCATCATTTTGGCGAATTATTAGCTGTCAGTTAGCATATGATGACGAGTACTAACGTTAAATGCGCCAATGATATTGATTCTACCTTACATATATCACTCGCAGTGATGGTTAAAGGCAAACAAATAATGATAACCTACATTTTTAAATGATCGTTATTGAACGGATTGGTTTGACAGCGGTGGATATGCAGCTGTAATGAACCAAGCTAGCTGAGAAGAGCTATTTACCTTAATAGGAGCCCGGGGAAATATCGTGAGATTTCACTTGCGAACCACAAGAAATATCGCGAGACCCTTGACCCTTCTACGGAGGCCGAGAGGCAGCAAGACTAATGAAATCACAGAAAATGCATGGGAAAATGGGAAACGGAGGGTGATACAACGGGCGTGGCTTATAGGCCCCAGTCTCACTCTCAATAAGTATACATTTTCTTATTTTAACTCTGTATATTTTATTGTATGACTGAATGGTAACTAAGAAGCATTATTCAAGTCATTGCCAGCTCTATCACGTGGTAGCATCTCCTGTTACTTTTCTCCGCGCTGGGTAGGATGGATCAATAGTCGTTTGTGATTAAATGATAAGGGTCAGAAATTTTGTAAAGTCTAAATTACCGTATTTTTATTTATCTCAGGTACGAGAGCTATATATATATATATATATATATATATAAATTTATAGACCTATATAGATATAGATTATAGTTTTTATAGCACTCGCTGATAAACGTACTGAAATGTGATTCGGACTAAATGGAAAATTTGCCATTCATTCTGAGCCACCAATCGCCACCTAGAGGAAGACAAGTTTCGTGTAGCTTAACAGGAAACAGTTCAGTTGACATGAACTGTCGTCTTATGAAACCGCATGAAACACACACATACACACACACACACACGCCGTTTGAGGTTCCAGAAGGAGAAACACTTCAGTTACTGTAGCAAGGTCTGGGTCATTTTCAGTTTCCATTCCCATCCTGAACACAGAGTAAGTTCATCTCAGTGTTATGTATTCACATGCTTTCTGATGTTTATGAAATGCTCGAATTAGTATGCATCTTAAATGCTTCAAGTCTTCGTAATTACATTATAGGCTACAGTATTTTGCAATTGTAAATAGGATCACTATTAGTTTAGAAAAACCTGTCAAAAATGTTACATATTAGGGTGATATTATTCGTACACTCGGATGTGTACGAGTCGAGATATTAGACCAAGTCGTGTGTAATGTTAGTACTGCTTTTAAAAGTTATTAATTAGTTACATTGTGTAAATCTTAAATGTTTTAAGTACGTTTTGTCTAATAATTATTCACATTTCAAAATTTATTGAGAAATTAGTTATGAGTTGACCAGATGCAAGATGTATGCTTGAATTAGAATTTAATATGCACGCATGCATTATAATTAATAATTTCTGCTTAACAGTATCAAAAATGAAATTATTAGTGTACTTTTATAAAAAAAAAAATGTAATGACACCATGGAAGTACAATGATTGTATGGTTACTGTAAGACACCTCAGTCTTCCATATGCAATATTTGTTTGTTGGATAGATAATAGATGAACCCTATATCACTTTTATGTGAAAAAGAAAAAAATATATTTGAATTAATTAAAAAATGGTTGCTTCAGTTTAGCAGTTAAACAGTTCTTGTCTGCCAGAATTTCTGCATGCCTGCTTCAGTTTTATGGCGGGAATGTGTCAGAATCGCTCATTGCTCATTCATTTAGAAGATTTTGTTTTCATAAAATCAGTGGACAGAATAACACAATTAACCCCAAATTCCCAACCACTCATGATGTGTTCATTCAATTGAGCTATTTTTTTAAAATTGCATTTTTCTTTTTTTAAAATATATTTTAATACATTTTATTTGGATTGTATTTTTTTTAACTGTAAACATCAAAATAAAATGGATGATTTATTTGTTTTTATACTTTTTGTAATTTAAGTAATAATTAGTAATAATTAATAATACAATTAATTATAATTTACTAATCTAAACATTTTTATAATGATTTTAATTAGATAAGACGTTAAATGTTAACGGTTAAATAAAGTTTGAAAAAAAAAGTTAAAGGTTTACACTTTACAGGTGAACAACAATACATTCAAATTCACATATATCATCTAAAATCATTATGTCCTCTAATGCAGTCTCGATTTTCAGGTGAATTTATTTAATTTCTTCATTCATTGTTTTATTTTAAGAATGATTTGATGCATTTTTTATTCTAGGAAATAAGACAATGAATGGATTAATAATATTTTTTTCTGCAGTGTATGTAACTATGATTCATAATTTTGCAGTTATGTCACATGTGGAGCAGATTATGTCAGTAAGTGTTTGTCTTCCATTTGAATCTACAGGACGATGACACAGCCGGCAGACTCCATTCTACACAGTGGTTACTTTCACCCAACTCTCCGATACTGGCAGACCTGTGCTTCAGACCTTAGGCCAGATAACCTCATATATCCTATCTTCATTACGTAATGTCTTCCCCCTCATTATATTTATTTTTTGATTGTATATAGGTTAAGGAGTTATTAAAGTTGTTTTAAGATTTTTAAAGTTGTTCAAAGTTGCTTGTTTATTGGTACTATTGTCCGTTTGTTTGATTGAAGACAAATAGTTCTGTTTCTCCACAACTGATTTTAACAGTGACAGTCCTGATGCAGTGGAACCAATTGCAAGTCTACCTGGTCAAGCGAGGTATCAACTTTCACTCACTGTCATCATTTACTAAAGTAAAAGTATCATTGAATTGTCATTGGATTAAGGAATCTAATGGATTACTAATGGAGTTTAACATAAAGCTAGACTGTTATGATCAATTTTAAACATTTAAAGAAAAACTGGCACTTGGCATTAATAATGTACATAATAGTTTGTTGTTGTTGTTGTTGTTTTTAAACTAAGGGTAACGTCTTACTTTAGGACCATAGGTTGATTTGTAGTTCCCTATGTTATTATTAATTAGTATATTAGTTTAATCATGTCAGTCAGCTTTGATGTTTTGCATAAGACTAGCATAAAAGACTCAGAGACTCTAGAAGGAAGGACTATGGGAAACATCTTTTTAAATATTCAAGATGTGTATGGTTGATATAGCAAAGATGAAGTTTGCATGTAAAGTTTGGGCTGGTGGTCTGAGATAAGATTCAGGCAGGGTGGTAGCCAACAAAGCACAAAGATAAGCCAAGGATCAGTTTATTCTTGGTTGTTAAGTCTAGGCGGTTGTAGTCAAAGTGAGGTCTGCTTACATAGTCAAGTAAAACAGACTGAGAAAGGAATACTCAGAAAGGAATACTGTCATGCTAGAGTCTTAAAAAAAATGTATGTGCACATTATGCAGCACAGCAGTTAACATTTAGTAATAAACAGTATTATGCAATGTTGTCACATGACCTCATGGAATATTGTTGCATGTTTCATTTAACATGGGATGTCTAGTTATCTCAGACAAAGAAACATTTACGTTGGTGTAAAAATGTCTTAACTGTTTAAAGTATGATCAAATAATTCGCTAAATTGCGACTGACAGTTCACTTGTTTTACTATACAAACCCAATTCCATAAAAGTTGGGACACTGTACAAATTGTGAATAAAAACAGAATGCAATGATGTGGAAGTTTCAAATTTCAATATTATATTTAGAATACAACATAGATGACATATCAAATGTTGAAAGTGAGACATTTTGAATTGCCATGCCAAATATTGGCTCCTTTTGGATTTCATGAGAGCTACAAATTCCAAAAAAGTTGGGACAGGTAGCAATAAGAGGCCAGAAAAGTTAAATGTACATATAAGGAATAGCTGGAGGACCAATTTGCAACTTATTAGGTCAATTGGCAACATGATTGGGTATAAAAAGAGCCTCTCAGAGTGGCAGTGTCTCTCAGAAGTCAAGATGGGCAGAGGATCACCAATTCCCCCAATGCTGAGGCAAAAAATAGTGGAGCAATATCAGAAAGGAGTTTCTCAGAGAAAAATTGCAAAGAGTTTGAAGTTATCATCATCAACAGTGCATAATATCATCCAAAGATTCAGAGAATCTGGAACAATCTCTGTGCATAAGGGTCAAGGCCGGAAAACCATACTGAATGCCCGTGATCTTCGGGCCCTTAGACGGCACTGCATCACACACAGGAATGCTACTGTAATGGAAATCGCAACATGGGCTCAAGAATACTTCCAGAAAACATTGTCAGTGAACACAATCCACCGTGCCATTCACCATTGCCGGCTAAAGCTCTATAGGTCAAAAAAGAAGCCATATCTAAACGGGAACCAGAAGCGCAGGCGTTTTCTCTGGGCCAAGGCTCATTTAAAGTGGACTCTAGCAAAGTGGAAAACTGTTCTGTGGTCAGACGAATGAAAATTTGAAGTTCTTTTTGGAAAACTGGGACGCCATGTCATCCGGACTAAAGAGGACAAGGACAACCCAAGTTGTTATCAGCGCTCAGTTCAGAAGCCTGCATCTCTGATGGTATGGGGTTGCATGAGTGCGTGTGGCATGGGCAGCTTACACATCTGGAAAGGCACCATCAATGCTGAAAGGTATATCCAAGTTCTAGAACAACATATGCTCCCATCCAGACATCGTCTCTTTCAGGGAAGACCTTGTATTTTCCAACAAGACAATGCCAAACCACATACTGCATCAATTACAACATCATGGCTGCGTAGAAGAAGGATCCGGGTACTGAAATGGCCAGCCTGCAGTCCAGATCTTTCACCCATAGAAAACATTTGGCGCATCATAAAGAGGAAGATGCAACAAAGAAGATCTAAGACAGTTGAGCAGCTAGAAGCCTTTATTAGACAAGAATGGGACAACATTCCTATTCCTAAACTTGAGCAACTTGTCTCCTCAGTCCCCAGACGTTTGCAGACTGTTATTAAAAGAAGAGGGGATGCCACACAGTGGTAAAAATGGCCTTGTCCCAACTTTTTTGAGATGTGTTGATGCCATGAAATTTAAAATCAACTTATTTTTCCCTTAAAATTATGCATTTTCTCAGTTTAAACATTTGATATGTCATCTATGTTGTATTCTAAATATAATATTGAAATTTGAAACTTCCACATCATTGCATTCTGTTTTTATTCACAATTTGTACAGTGTCCCAACTTTTATGGAATTGGGTTTGTAATTAGAGAAATTGGCCATTTTCTGAATGGCCAATTGGCAAGGTCATCGTGTCATTTCAGCTGCTGTGCAGATAGCTTTAGTGTTTCATATAAACAAAAAAGAATGCCAATGTATTGTTAAAAATCTTTATAATAAATAATGTTTCATTCTGTTGATTTCAGATATGGCGTCAATAAGATAGAGGGTTTACTTCGTCCCCTTGTGGATAAAGGCCTTAAGTGTGTGCTGATTTTTGGAGTTCCTGCAAATGTTGCAAAGGTCACTGAGAAGTGAAATGGTTTCAGTAGTATTTCTGTCATTCATTTTATGCGGGTGTTGATGAAATATTGTTTTGTGTCTTCTCATTTCCTGTCCCAGGATGAGAGAGGCTCTGGTGCAGACAGAGATGACACGCCTGCAGTGCTGGCTGTGAAGAAACTGAGGAGCACATTTCCTGAACTTGTGTTGGCCTGTGATGTGTGCCTTTGCCCCTATACCTCTCATGGCCACTGTGGTTAGTTTCAGTATTGGATCTGTTTACATCATTTAATGGTGCATCAAGTAAGTTTTTTTTTCAGGGATTTACAGAAATTAAAAATAACCTTTATTTTCTATAGTGCCTTTAAATGTACATCTCAAAGCACTGTACAAAAACAATTAAAACAGCAAAGATACAACACACAAAGAGACACAATGCACAGTAAAATAAACATAAAAGACAATAAACATAAGACAGTAAATCTTATCTTCACAATTTGGCAATATTTCTAAGATGGGAAAAAATAATTTTAACAGTATTCAAAACATATGGCTCAAACATTAGATTCTCCTAAATTCTTCAATTTTGTTTGAAACTCCACAGTAGAGCCATTAACAGTTAGTGTGACGAGCTCTGCTTTGCATAGTTGGTGGGGTGAACCAACAAGCATAATCTGTGTTAAACGAAAATTATCTGTCATCCATTCCTTCATCTTAGAAATACACTCAGGAAAAAAAATAACAGGCACAGTTTCATTAGGTCTAAAATGAATGTAGATCTGGGTATCATCTGTATAGAAATGAAATTTTAGACCAAGTGATCTCAAAAGCTGGCGAAGAGGATAAACATTAACATTAAAAAGAAGAGGGCCCAAAATTGACCCCTGAGGGACACCAGACTGCAGATTACAAGTAATGCGAGTTACATAATTAGATTACTTTTTTCAAGTAACTAGTATAGTAACGCATTACTTTTAAATGTAAAACAAAATATCTGAGTTACTTTTTCAAATAAGTAACGCAAGTTACTCTGTGTTCCCATTCATTGACTGACAGCTCTCCTGTCCCCGTGTTGAGAGAAATCAGTGTTGTGTGCACTATGTAAACATGATGGTTCTTGTAGTTCTAGAATAAATAGTGAGCATGCATTTACTCATCTCACTTGAACAAAAGCACATTCATAGTAATAATAATAATAATTAAAGCTGCAAGCAGAATTTATCGGTGTTCAGGTCTTTAAGGCATTTAAGCACAAAAGCATCAAAAAACATTAAGTTGTATGTAGCAGGCATGATTTATCATGATATACTACATTTCAGCTTGATATTACATAATTAACCATGTTCCAATATGATTTATCATAATTTAACATGTTAAAATATGATTTACTACAGTTTAGTTCACACACTTATTTTCAACTTCAGGATAATAGTCATTTTTTACTAAATGTGGTTGTAAATGTTAAAAGATTGAATTGATAAAGTTATACTATGAATTATAGTTGAGTATTGTGAAAAAAAAATAATTTAAACAGCAGTGGGCAGTACAACACCACTCATTGGCCACCTATAATCCGATCCTCACGGAACTTTGCGGAGGAACTTTGGTTGCTGTAGCGCCACCTATCCACCTATGCACCTCGTACTCTGACAGCTTTGAGATATACAAATCCAAGCCACCTATGATCCGATCCTCACGAAACTTTGCATGCTTCCTAACCATGTTAGGACACATATGCTCGTCGATTTTTGTGAAGTTGTGACTTTTTGGGGGGGATTTAGGGGCTTTTGACTGAATTTTGCCACAGACCACTATCTAAATGACCCTGTTACAGCCAACCAAATGCAAAATTTTAACTTTTTTTCGATAATTATTGATCTAGAGAGTCCAGAGAATAGGCCTAGACTGGTTTGGTCCCAATCGGGCAAAAATCCAGGCACTAGTTCGCAAAAGTGGGTTTTGGACAAAAACCGAAATAACAAATTTTTTTTGCTCCAAATGGAAATCCGAGATATACATCTTGTCCGTCTTGTAGTTATGAGCAATTTAGTACTTTTGGTTGCTGTAGCGCCACCTATGGGCCAATCGGGCTCATACTCTGATAGCTTCTCCACAATTTGAGGCCCTACCATCTGACAAAGTTTCAGAGCTCCAGCCCTTACGGTTTGGCCTGCACGATGCGTTTTAGGGGATTTTTTTTTTCTTTCTAGCAAATACAATAGGTTTTCAGCACTTCGTGCCTGAACACCTAATAATGCATAAAAATGCAACACCCAAGGTCACCTCACAAGCAATACACTGGTCACTGCATAAGACAAAACACACAACAAACAAGTCGCATATACAGATAAAGTGCAGTAAAGTCTCAATAAAACATGTTATAAAAAAGCCTGTATTAAAAGATATGTCTCAAGATGCATTTTAAAAGTCAACAAGCACTCGCTATTGCGAACATCAATGTAAAGAGAGTTCCATAGGCGGGGGGAAGCATAACTATCAAAATAAAGATCTGGTACCCATGATAGTTAGTCGAATTCGAGGTACCACCAAGATCTGAAAGCACGTGAAGGAATGTAAACATGGAGTAGTTGAGTATGGTATTGTGATGCAAGATTATGAAGTGCCTTATAAGTAAGTAGCAAGATTTTGAATTCAACACCATACTGGACATCAGTGCAGTTGTTTAAGAACTGGAGAAATGTGCTCAGTATAATGTGTTCTAGAGAGAACACAAACGGCAGAATTCTGAACCAACTGAAGCTTATATAGCGGTTTGGAGGGAATACATGTGAGAAGAGTAGAGCCCGACCGATAAAGGATTTTGAAGGCCGATACCGATACAAATATTTTTGGGTTTTAAAATCCGATATTCCGATATATCGGCCGATATTTTATTTTTTTATTTATTTATTTAAACGACATGATAGTCACAAATTTTGTCATGCTTATTTGAGTTAAGAGAACTGATGGGGATGTTCTTTTAATTGTTATTCAAGCAATGTATGTATCGTGACCAACTCAACGAGTGTTGCCAACAGGAACGGTGTAGAGTGCCCTCTGGTGGACAAACTATACAACTCCAACACTTATGACATGGTTCAAGCGTGTTTCGTCCGTTTTTATTTTATTTTTGAAATATTCATTTATCGGCCATTATTGTCACGGTACAAACAGGAAGGGAGAACTCAAATGCAAAAACAAGGAGGATTTATTAACAAAAAGAAAACCAAAACACAAAGCAAAAACCCACGAGGGGGGAAAACAGAATAAATGAACATGAAACAAACACTGGGTCAAGACTACAGGGACCGCCAACCAGGAACAGAGAAACATCTGACAATGACAACGAACCGACCAAGACTGCAAACATGAGGAGACTTAAAAAGGGAACAAATCAAGAGGGGAACAGGTGGAACAACTAAACACTAATCAGGTAACGAGTGGGAAGGATCAAACAATCACAGAAACACATGGCACAACATAACACCCATGTGCAATACAAGACAGGACCAACATGTGACATTACCCCCTCACTACGGAGCGGATCCCAGACGCTCCATCAGGCGGGATAGGAGGGACAGACCAGGGTGGGACGGGAGGGACAGACCAGGGTGGGACGGGAGGGACAAAACGTTTAGTCCTGGGAGACACGGGTGAAACACAAAGTCCATCAGGCGGCCAGGGCAGTGCAGACTCCTTGGGCGGCCAGGGCGGAGCAGACCTTTCGGGTGGCCAGGGCTGTGAAGACCCCTCGGGCGGCCAGGGCGGTGAAGACCCCTCGGGCGGCCAGGGCAGAGCAGATCTTTCGGGTGGCCAAGGCGGTGAAGACCCCTCGGGCGGCCAGGGCAGAGCAGATCTTTCGGGTGGCCAAGGCGGTGAAGACCCCTCGGGCGGCCAGGGCAGAGCAGATCTTTCGGGCGGCCAGGGCGGTGAAGACCCCTCAGGTGGCCAGGGCGGAGAAGACCCCTCGGGTGGCCAGGGCGGAGAAGACCCCTCGGGTGGCCAGGGCGGTGCAGACCCCTCGGGCGGCCAGGGCACAGACACCGGCTCAGGAACAGGCACTGGCTCTGTCTCCGGCTCAGGAACAGGCATTGGTTCTGCTTCCGGCTCAGGAAACGGCGCTGGCTCTGCCTCCAGCTCAGGAACAGGCGCTGGCTCTGCCTCCGGCTCGGGAACAGGCGCTGGCTCTGCCTCCGGCTCGGGAACAGGTGCCGGCTCTGCCTCCGGCTCGGGAACAGGTGCCGGCTCAGGAACTGACACTAAAACAAACACAGTCACAAGAACAGACACAAACACAGACAAAAACGCTGGGTCCTGAACCAACATGAGCTCCAGCTCAGGGACAGGGACAGGCACCGGCTCAGGGACAGTCTCTCGCACCGGCTCAGGGACAGTCTCTCGCACCGGCTCAGGGACAGTCTCTCGCACCGGCTCAGGGACAGTCTCTCGCACCGGCTCAGGGACAGTCTCTCGCACCGGCTCAGGGACAGGCACCGGCTCAGGGACAGTCTCTCGCACCGGCTCAGGGACAGGCACCGGCTCAGGGACAGGCACCGGCTCAGGGACAGTCTCTCGCACCGGCTCAGGGACAGTCTCTCGCACCGGCTCAGGGACAGGCACCGGCTCAGGGACAGTCTCTCGCACCGGCTCAGGGACAGTCTCTCGCACCGGCTCAGGGACAGGCACCGGCTCAGGGACAGGCACTGGCTCAGGGACAGTCTCTCGCACCGGCTCAGGGACAGTCTCTCGCACCGGCTCAGGGACAGGCACCGGCTCAGGGACAGGCACCGGCTCAGGGACAGGCACCGGCTCAGGGACAGTCCTGCCAGACGTGAAATGGATAGTCCTTCGCTGGGCAGACGGGACAGGAGCAGTCTCTCGCTGGACAGACGGGACGTGAGCAGTCTCTCGCTGGACAGACGGGACGCGAATAGTCCTTCGCTGGGTAGATGGGACGTGAATAGTCTCTCGCTGTGCAGACGGGACATGAGCGGTCTCTCGCTGGACAGACGGGACGCGAATAGTCCTTTGCTGGATAGACGGGACGTGAATGGTCTCTCGCTGTGCAGACGGGACATGAGTGGTCTCTCGCTGGACAGACGAGACATGAGCGGTCTCTCGCTGGGCAGATGGGATGCGAGCAGTCCTTCGCTGGGCAGACGGGACGTTAGCAGTCCTTCGCTGGGCAGACGGGACGTGAATTCTCTCACGCTGGGCAGATGGATTTCTTCTCCTCCATCCATGACGGTGAGAAGC